GCTGGAGCCAGCCTCAGCCCCCAGGGTCCCTTTTGTAGGAGGTTAAAGGAAGCAGCCTAGAGGAAACAGCTTTCCTTTGCACTTAGCACAGCTCCCAGCTCTGATGCTGCCTGGCTCCTGAAGACCTTCCCTGTGTGCCTCTCCAGCCTTCCTTCCTTCCCATCAGGCTCTAAGCCTGCAAAGATGTCAATAGTAAAAGATGCTTCCCACCCTGGTGAGCTTTGGGAAGGCTGGGAGCTAGGGCTAGTGGAGACTGAGGCAGGAGTCACCTTTTCCCTCCAGCAGGGTCTTTGGTACCTTGCCGGGCTCGCCTTCTCAGAAGCTGCAAGGCTAAGGTTGAAAAGGCTCCACCTATTCAGATTACAGGAATCCTGGTTTGGAGACAAAGCAGGGCTAGCTCTGGCCCGCTCTTATCTCCGGGGCTTAACACCTATGTCTGAACCCAGATCCCTGGCTGGCTGACGCCAGTCTTCTGGTGTCTTACTACACACAGCCTGGCGCCCTGAGTGCTTTTGGAGTGCAGCTGCCTGGGGCAACAGAAGCCTCCTTCCTGGCCAGGTCAACCCTCAGGACACCCATGAACACACTCTCTTTGCTCAGCTTTGCCCTGATTCAGATGCACACTGAGACACAGACCATCATGAGAGAAGGAGGCTAAGACTCTATGGCCTATCTTGTCCCCAGGCATCAGCTGCCAGGGATGAAGGCAGATCTCAGGTGTTTTCAGCTCAGGGAGCCTTGTCCACAGGGCCATGCATGGTGACTAAGAGCCTCAGCTAGTACCATGGAGAGACCTGAGGCCCAAGAGAACTCGGATGCTCCTGGGTGGGTACCCGTCGTCTTTAGACGGTGATAGTGGTGGCCAGTACTAGGAAGGGACAATATTCAGGGGGACAGATGGACCAGCAGAGCTCTGCTTTAGTTTCCACCCAGAAACCTGGTAAAGAGCCCCTGGGAATTCGGTTCTCAACAGCAGGCCAGTGTGGTACCAACAGCACTGCATAAGGGCTTGCAGGCAGGCCAGACTGCTGAAGCCCTGGTAGGCCCATGGGAGAGGGGTGCATGGTGACAGGACACAGGTACACTGGAAAACCAGAGGAAGGAGAAAAAAAGCAGGGGCGTGCAGGGGAGGGAGAGAAGTCGGGGGGGGGGGGTAGTTCTCAGAAGGAGGCCTCTTGCAGAGTCCCGTCTTGTCCCAAGGCCACATGGTCTCTAGCCTCTCTGCTAGAGCTGACTAGATGTGTCTGTGTATGCACGTGTGTATACGTGTGGTGGGGGCGGGGCACTGGAGTTCCAGGCAGAGCTGATGACAGCATGGTCCTGCCATCTCCTGCGCAGCCTTTGAAGTGCTGAAGAGCAGCTTGAGGTTGGTGGGCGGCGGGGTCTGTTTGGGGGGAGCTGGAGCCTACCCACCTAGGAAGGGAAAGTCTCACACCATCTCCAGGAAACTCATCTGAACTCCTGAAAAACCATCTGAACTTCCCTAAGTCTTAGCTTCCAAGGTTAAGATAGCAGGACCAGGCACCCATGCCACATCCCTCAATACTCAGTGGCCTTCCCAGCACCCAGCATATTAAAGTAACTCTAAATCTTAACCCAGCTGAATCCATTCTGTAACGGGAGACTATGAGGGGACAGAAAAGGCAGAGCTGACCCGGCTCATACTTCCCCTTTGAGGTGTTTGATGACTGACTAACGTCAAGCTTCAGTTAGCTAGCCCTGACTGAGCTCCCTACAGAGAGCCATGGGGAGAAAGAGGGTTGTAGGAGGGACATCACTCTGGCCTGAATAACAGAGTGCTGAATAACCTGGGCAAGTCACTTCCATCTGCAGACCTTGTGGGGGGGGGGGGGGGCGTCATGGGGCGTGTAAAGGCTCTCAGGAGATAGGGCACAATACTTACCAGAGAGCACCTTCAGCAGGCTGAGGGACCTGGAGAGGGCATCTCACCCAGAGAGAAGCAGAAGTGCTTTCTAGCACCAGGTTTGGAGCCTTGGCAGATGCCATTTAGGGCTGACTCAAGAGTTGAGCAGCACAGAGACTTATCTTTGGGGATGGAGAAGGCCAGGCCCCGTGCTATGGCATGACCTCTTGGTGTGGGTCCTAATGAGGGGCTAGAGGAGTCTCATAAACTGGACATGTGTGTCCCATCCCGCACAGTCCTAAAGAGGAGACACTCCGTGGGCACCAGGTGCTCAGCAGCTGCTGCTCACCCGCCTGCCTCCTGAGGTCCAGCTACAAGGCCTGCCTGGAGGCCCCAGCCTAAGCTGTCAGACAGGGTACTTTCTGAGCTAGCCTCCAGCCTCATGAGATAGCATAGAGCCTGCAGACCACAGGAGAGATGCTACGCTCTGAACACTGTTGACCGGTGGGGGCTGGAGCCACATCTGGTTCTCATTTAAATGTCCAAGTGTAATTAAATTTTCTACGACGCAGCGGAAGAGTTCGGTAAGAGGTGGCTTTACCCCCTTTCCATCAGGGCTAAGAAATCAGTTTCTTGTTCCACCAGCAGACTAACCCTCTTTCCTGTGGCTGGCCTGTCTTAGTCAGGGAGGGCAAAGACCTCCCCATCCCCATCTACTTGTCTCTGTTCTTCCTCCCTGCCCCCCTTTCCTTCATTTGGCACAGGCTCTCACTGGGTTATACAGGCTGGTCTTGAACTCCTGGCCTTGGGGATCCTCCCACTTCAGCCTCTTGAGTAGCTTGAACTTTAGGTATATGCCATCGTGTGCCACTCCTCTCATCTACCTTCTAGAACATACAGGCTGGGACCAGCATTAGGTACGTGATGCACAGGACACCCCCCTGCTCCCCACCATGTGGTCTGCCCACCAGAGAGGACTCAGCTGCAGGCCCCACTGGGGGCTGGTGGGTTGAGGAGGTGACTGTCACATTCCTCCTGAGAGGCTCTTCCCCAGCCCTGAGGAGGCAGACACTGTGGCTGGTTTACCTCAGGGATGCCTATCTCCTTCTACTGGGAGACATGGGGTGTCCTCTAATGCTGTGCTAAGGGAATCCCTTCTTTGTAGCCCCTTATGATAGGCAGTGCTTCAGAGTGGTGATTCTGGAGGTGCTGGGACAAGAGACCATCCCACCCTGTACCCTGGCCCTAAAGCACAGGCATGGCAGGGTGAGGAAGGGACCTCCATACACTTCCTACCCCTCACTCTGTGACCTCAGGACTGTTGCATGGGGGCGCCCCTTCCCCAGCTCTCTCTGCCCTCATACACAAAGGAGGCATCAGTCTACCAGATGAGAGCGAGAGTGATGTCTGAGCCACGAAAGGAATGCCTCGGGCCTTCATCTAAGAGCAACAGCAAGGACAGCAAGATCTGAGGAAGATTGCCCTGTTCAATACCACACCCTTGGGGCATCTTCCTTTCCAGGCTCCTGCTTAGGACCTCCCTACAGCTGAGCAGAAGGCTCCCGGGATGGCTGTTCCCCCAGCCTCCCTTCCCACCCGAGCATCTTCAGTTTATGGCGTCTTTTTACTCAGGGATTTATGACTTTCATGGTAATGGGTTCCATTCTATTTCCTCTATGCCGATATTTCTAATCATTATGGTGTGGCTTTATGAGCATCTTAATAAGTGGAGGTATTTTTTTCCCCTTTGAAACAAACTGTCCTGTGAGTTAATGACTTCTTGTGGGTGTGGATGCAACCCAGAGACAAGTGGAAGTCGGGGGGGGGGGGGGGGGGGGGAGATGACAAGGGTTGGGGCTGTGCAGAATTTTCTAGATTGAAAAACAAAGCTGTGCTGAGGTCCCTTTAAAACTCTTGGTTAGCTCCCATATTAAAGGCTCACTAACTACTCACAAGCACCTAGACCCATGCACAGGCACATGTGGCATGTGTGGGCTGCACAGTGCTCACCCGGAGGATGGGCAGGAAGCTACCAATCCCAGTCTTTTCGTATGTAAACTTGGCCTTGGTAGTCAACTTAAGTTTTTGGTGGCATTTAGGTTAGGACCACGTGTTTGGTAGCCTTTCCATCGATGAATAAAGTTTTAAGGAAACTGAACCAATTCCCTGTCCAGCGGTCCTATGCTAAGTCTGACAAAAGAAATATATCAGGATGAGGCCTCTGTGGCCCCAGTCATGGTCTCAACCTGCACTGTAGCGCTTGTGCGCCTGCGCCATGGCGGGGGTGGGGGGGTGGGGGGAGGTCTCACTTAACTACAGTGGTGGCACCCTTCCCTGACTGCGGCCCAGGCGGGGCTGATGTGGCCCTGCCTTTGTGCTGGTCTCAGAGACGGGCTGCTGGTGCCGGGCCCTATTCATTATTCAATTCAGCTGGCTCGGACGAGCCTTTCCATTTGCTCCTGCAGGAGGGATAACAAATCTAGAAATGGAATTCCACTTTGGTGTATTAAGATATTGATTTGCCTGCCGAGCAGAAGGGCATTGTTCTGCCAGCCTTCCCGTGGGTAGGAAGGGGTTAACCAAATGTTTATCACAAGGCTGGCTTCAGAGTTGAAAGTAATGTGATCAGTAATGAATTTTGTGTTACATTAGGTTGTATAAATGGACAGACAAGCGCAGACAACAAGTGGCCAGGAGTCGGGGCTAATCTAATGATGTAAAAATAGAGACAGCACCAATTATACTAGGGGCCAGCTCCAGGCTCCTGCAGGGACTGCAAATGAATAGGTACAAATCAAATTACTCCCTAATAGACGCACTACAAGAGGGGCAGTCAATGGTAAATGCATTAGAGCCCAGTGACCTCTCTGCTCTGCACAGCAGAGTCCCAAAATTTGACTTCCATCTTCAGAGCGGGGGGCGGGGAGTGGCACTCTCAAAGAAACTCTTGTTGGGTGAAAGATGGCCACCACTCCCTATCCCAAACCAGTCCCCTGCAGAAGAGACCTCCTGTCCTAGCTGACCTCCAGTGCTTCCTGAAGCCTGAGCTCCAGGGGAGGGGAGACACCCATGTGAGGGACATACAGAGCAGCGGGACCCAGCCTTCTGTTATAGGCAAAGACAGGAGGTTACATACCCAAACACTTCATAGCCATGTGTCTCTCGGGGGTGCTGTTTTTGACTGCTACGTCAAGAGCTGTGTCTGCATTGGAAATAAAATAGTTCTTTAAAGAGGATCACACAATGGACGGACCTTCTAAGAGTCCAACAAGAGCTGAGATCAAACTGAGTAGATATCAAAATCTGGTTTGAGCACTGATGGCTTTGCAGGGGAGAATTAATTCTGTGGTCTGTTCCAAGGTCCAGCACATCTCGATTTCTCATTAGCCAAAGCTAGCGATCTCCATCCTTTCCTTCTTCCTCCTCAGTCTCCACGGACTGAGTTCCTCTATTCCTGCCTGCTTCGGGGGTGGGGAGGGAAGGATGAGGATGCACGCCCAGGCTTTTGGGTGGTTCCTTGGATTTTCTCCCATGGTCCTATGGATTTAGACAACAGGCTTGATGTTCAAAGCTGCTTGGCACTGTACTGCACTTCTTTGGGAGGGCTTGTGGACTCATGCTCAGAGGTAGTCCTGGATCCTCATAGTCAGGTCTTTGTGGCTTGGGGATGAATGAAGTATGAAAACAAAGAAGCTCTAAGTCATCCAAGGACCAGGCCAAGCTCCATGAAGGTGTGGTCACAGAGGCTTGATTCCCATTCCCCCAGCTACCCTAAAGCCAGCACCACACACTTGCACATATGAGTGGAGATGACATTGCCAGTCATGGCCAGCTGGGGCCTGGAATATGCCAATATAATGGGCACAAGGGAGGCGAGGGCATAGAATGGAAAAAGTCAACCTGAATAAATAAAGTGGCTTGAAGGTGAGTCTCCCCAAACTTGATGAAATGAAGAGGGGTGAGCTGCAAGCTACTGAGCTACAGTAACAAGACACATGTGGGGGATGGGGGCAGGGAAGCTCTGAAAACTGGAGGGTTTGGCCAGCACACTGAAAACCGGCTCAGGCAGTGGGGCCTGCGGGTTCCTGGGGCCAGGGGCAGTACAGGAAGAGCAGGCAGCAAGTCAGTCACCTAAGCAGGAGGCCTGTCTGCCTATCTGCAACAGGCAACCCCAAATGTCTCATGTTTAATGCAAGGGTCATCTGTGGCCTCCCTTTCCTGGGATGGACCTGTTTCCTAGCCTATGGCCCCTTGCCATTTGAGAAGCTGGGACAGAAGAGAAGGTGGGTAACTATGCTTGCTCTGCCTTGCTGGGACCTCACACCTTACCCCAGGGCCAGCGAGTAAAGGTGAAGTCTCTGGCAGAGGAGGAGGGACCAAGAAGAATCCTCCCTTGGGTTAATGATTTACCCAGTGTAATGGTACAGGGGAGGCCCCTGGCAACAGTCCTGTAGCCCTCCACCCTCTGCCCAAGCCTGCACATGCTCCACAGTCCCTTTCCTTGGGGCAACATGTGGAAAGGGTACGCCGAAGAGTCACCAAAGAGGCCACACTGGCACTTCCTCTTTGTTGACAAGAATCAGCATGCCATGCCATGGGCAAACAGGACATGTGCAGGGGAAACTCATTAGCCCTGGACTCTTACTGTGGTTCCTCCTCTGGCTGTAGCTCCAGAGGGGACAGAAGAGAGGGGCAGAGAAAGCAACCTAGCTGGAATCAGTTCTAAGACTTGGCCTGGAACTAACAAGTGTGTCTTTTAAGCAAGATAATTATTCCCATGGCTTTGGCTGCCTTTCATTTACCTCTCAGAGGCCACAAAAACCCAATCAGTCATTCAACAAACATTAACTGAGGCTCAGCTTGGCGTTCATCCCAGGGCTGCATGCTGGGCAAGGAGAACTGCTGGTTAAAGGTAACAAAGATGAATCAGATTGGGTCCAAGGAACAAGAATTGGGTCAAGATGCACCCATGGCGCTATGGATAAGGAAGGAGCAGAAGGACCCACGGAGCTGGTCTTGCCCCAGGTGGCACGTAAAAGAACGTCAGCTACAGCTTGTTCATGGGAAAGTCAATAAACACCCCTTGCCCAGGGCCAAGCACCCTGAATGCAGCCGGTATAGAGAGGTTATCAGGGAGACGCACGTGGGCAAGGAGGTGAGCTGGAGAAGGAGAGTGTGGGTTTGGTCTAAAGGCATGACTGTGCAGAGGGGTGGTCTACGTCAGGGTGGACCACTGTGCGAGGGAGCTGCAGTCACAAGCTTACAGGATGCTGGGGGACAAGCTGAAGTGGGATGGGGAAGGTGGGCCAGGCAGGAGAAGGAGGCAGGGAAGGCCTGTAAGACATTTAAAGACCATGGCAAGAGCCTAGGTCAGGCTATGAAGACGGCTGGCTTTTTGTAAGTAGGGAAGTGACCTCAGCCTCCCTGAGAATGGGGTCCCCTTCCTTTATGGGGTTCCCCTTTTTTGAATAAAAAGTGGGTCACATTCTGAGCAGGTGAGACTAGGAAGATGGTCAGAACTGGACACTATTGTTTTAGAAATAATGTCTTCTTTGGTGATGTTGGAGACTGAACCCAGAACTCTGTGCGGCACGGCAGACCAGCGCTCTACCAGTGAGCTATGTCCCCAGTGCCCTTAGTGCCTTGTTTTAATTCTTTTTTTAACGTAATTTCAAGTTCTTTCTCTCTTGCTTTGGAAGCTGAAGAGAGGAATAGCTAACAATCTGGCAGAATTGTGATGAGAAGGACATTTACACAGCAGACGGAGTCTCCTTAAGCCTGCCCACCTTGTCTGGAGTGATGTGTGGACACAGAAGATTGAGTGCAGTGTCCAGGGTCTGTTCGCCATGATGATGGGAAGCAAGTGCTCCCACTATTTCCTGTTTCACTCCTAAGAGACGAGTGAGAAGGGCCCAGGGCCACATGCATTCTTCCATTTCTTGAATCCAAATCTCACCAGAAGAGAAATACTGTTCTTCCCAGTAGCAGCAGCTGACGTTGGGAGCTGAAGGGACTCTCAAGACTTGGCCTTTGCTCCTGGTGGAAAATAGCTAGGGACAGGTGCTAGGACACTGTGCTGGGACACAAACAGCAACACCCACAGCGCCACCCTTGGGGCTGCAGCCACCCCCAATCCCACAGTTGTCCTTCCCCGCTGTGCAGGGCTGCTCAGGACCTGCTGGTGGGACAGGCTGTGCAAGGTGGCTCTGGCCTCTGGGAGCTAGTCTCCTCCCTCACCCTTCGCGTTCAGGGCATCTGTGGCTGCAAAGTGCAGTTCTGTTACTAGATCTGCTGCGGCTTGTGTACCCAGTGTCCCTTGGAGGCTCACATTTTGGACACTTAGTCCCTAGCTGGTGATGCTATGTTGGGAGGTGGGTCCTAGCTACAGGAAGTGGTTCATTCTGCTTTTCTGCCCTCTGTGAGGTCAAGGACCTTCCCCATCATACACTCTGGCCACCAAGATGTTTTGCCCAAGCAACCATGGACTGCCCCCTCCGAAATCATGAGCCCAAATAATCTCTCTGTTTTAAAGTTCTCCTCCGTCTCTCACAGCCATCAGAAGACTAATACAGTGTGATGATTAATTTTATGAATCAACAGTCTTAAAGTCACCTGGATTCCCTCTGGGCATGTCTGTCAGGGCGTTTCCAGGTTGGTTTAATTAAGGAGGGAACCTTCTCATGGTCTGGGGTTCCAGACTGAATAAAACAGGGAAAGCGAGCTGAGCATCAGCATCCACCTCTCTCTCCACTTCCTGAATATAGATACAATGTGACCAGCTGCCTAATGTCCCGTCACCACGCCTTCCCACCATGATAGATGGTATTCCTTCCTTGACCATGACTTCCAATAAATCCTTCCTGCCTTTAGCTGCTCCGTCAGTTAGTCTGTCAGCAATGAGAAGAGCGACTAATATATGGAGCATTCTAGAAAGACCACACCCCGGGCTAGGGAAAGAAGCCTGAGCCCTGATTGCTTTAGTTACTAATGGGTCCTGGTAGGAGCTGGGAACAGGAGCCAAAGAGGAAGAGACCACAGCTCAGTGCCATCCCCTCCCCCAAGGCTTTTGCCACTCCCAGATAGGAACTGTGGCTTACCTCCTCTCCCCTAGTCTGGTGAGGAATGTGCCAATCTGCTATTGCAACCAGAGAGAGGGTGTGTGGGACCACCCAAGAGGCCACTGACAGAAGACACTGAAAGAAGTCTTTCTTTGTAAATGCTACAGAAGGAAAAAACCAGGGTCCACACAGACAAAGCAGGGGAGAAGGCCCAGATACCTGGCTAAATTACCTTGATGATGGTGGCACTTTCCAAGGCACTGGTTACTTAGGGGAAACGGGTAATGAGAGGCACTATCCAGAGATGCTCAGAGTCCTTGGTAAGAAAGCGAGACCCAGCCTAGAGAATGTTGGATGGATGGATCACACTCTTCCATGTGGAGAAGGGAGGCCAGGAGAATGGAGAGATGGAAGAGTGGAGACTGGGCCACATGTGCTGCTACACTGGCTATCACGGGGAGGAGGGATATTATCATTCTCAAGAGACCAAAAAGAGAGAGATGGCCCAGTAGGCGAAGGATTGAACAACAAGGATTGAACAACCTGAGTTCTGAGTTCTGGTGGAAGGAAAGAACTGACTTCTGCAAGTTGTCCACTGACCTCTACATGCACCTCACTCAAATAAAAATAAAATAATGTAAGGTGTTTTTAACGAAGAGGATGAAGATGGGAACCTTTTCCAAGGTACCTGGAGTCAACACCATTGAAATTCAGAGGGCCTGAAGAAGGAGGAGACAAGAAGATCATGTGAGGCCTCAGAGCAGTTTGGTGGCTTGGCATGGTAGTACATGTGACCTGTGGGGTGACGAGTCATCCCAGCTTTGTAAAGGCGGCATCGTTGGCTAACCTGGTACTACAGAAGGGCCCAACCTTTACTTAGACACATCTCGGTGTCGCCTCTCTCTTTTTTCCTGCATGTTTATGTGTGTGTGGTGTGCATGCATGCATGGTTGTATGTGTACAGACACATGTGTGTGCACATGCTCATGGAGGCCCAAGATTGACGTCAGGAGTCTTTCCTAAATCACTTTTTTTGAGGCAGGGTCTCTCAATATGACTAGACCAGCTAGCAAGCTTGCTTCTGGGTTCCCTTGTCTATGCTCCTTCCCAGTGCTGGAATTATGGGTAGATCACCATGTCCATT